TTCTACAGTTTTGGTCTGATTTCAATATAACTTGACACACAAATAGACTACACTAAGATACATAGAATAGTGCATCGGTTTTTGATTTTGGTGAACGGTGTTGCCATGGTTACTAAAAATAAATTTTTTTGTGAAATTCCTTTAAAACGCTACTCCTTCTACAGTTTTGGTCTGATTTCAATGTAACTTGGCAAACAAGTAGACTACACTAAGAATAGAATAGTGCATCGGTTTTTGATTTCGATGAACGGTGTTGCCATGGTAACTAAAAATAATTTTTTTTTTGTTTTAAATTCCTTTAAAATGCTTCTCCTTCTACAGTTTTGGTCTGATTAGTATAACTTCATTACTTGACACATAATTAGACTACACTAAGATACATAGAATAGTGCATCGGTTTTTGATTTCGATGAACGGTGTTACCATGGTTACTAAAAATAGAATTTTCTGTGAAATTTTATTAAAACGCTACTCTTCTACAGTTTTAGTTTGATTTCAAAATAACTTGGCACTCAAGTAGACTACACAAAGATACATAATAGTGCGATGGTTTTTGATAAGTACAAACCAATAGAGCTACAGTCTCGACAGAGACTTCTGGTTTCAGTCGAGTAATTTTGATCGACTCTGCTGCTTCTAACTTGTGTAAAAAAAATCCAAAATGTAATTTCGGCTCATTCATATTGCTCAGATGAACTCATTTCCGTGTTCAACCCAAAGTGCTCAGGACATTGTTTCGTATAGACTTCAAAAAGCAAGATGTTGAAAAAAAACCCATAAAACTGTAAATATACTGACACGCAAAAGAAACACAACACCCTACTTTAGGAGGAAATAATTATGTAAAGTAAAAAATTTTGTATTTTAAAATTATAGATATATTCAATTTGGTTAATATCGGTAATTTAACGGTTAAACGATTTTCGTACCATAACCGGAAGTTAAGTTGGAGTCTGCTTAACAGAAATAAAAAATTGCATGTTTAACAAAACATTTGGCAATATCATGGAGTTTTAAGGGTTTATACCGTTCATCTTAAGTAATGCAGCAATATTTCAATAATTCAAATCTCCTTTTGTTTCCTGTAACGATGCTAAGGCTTCTCGAAAATGGCTTAAGTACGCATTTCCATTGCTCTAACTGGAATATCCCAAAGTAAAGGTGATGGAGAGTTAAATGATGCAAAAATACACTGCATTATGTTTCAACGGCGTCTTATGTATCATATGCATAAATGATGGTCCTCGGACCGGAAGTCCAAGGGTAACTACAATTTGCTAAGTTAGAGAAAATTCGACCTAATCATTTGAAAAACAGGCATTTAAAAATGACAAAGAATAATTCCTTCGCTCAAATCTCGATATTGATTAAATTATTGTGTCGTAGATATTAAGCTGCAACTGTTGTTTAGGGCAGTCTTGCACGATGTAATTTAGTGGCTGGGAGGGGGTTGTTTTAACAGTCATATGTTACTTGGTAAAGTTAAAAAACAAACATTTAACATATTTATCAAATCTCTCATGTTCTGAAAAGTGTTTTTAGCCTTACTGTATCCTTTTTTGGAAATCATTAGATAAAAAATTCAAACATTTGTTGATTACTGCTTGTTGCGTTTCTTTTGGGTGTCAGTATATGTAGTTCCAGGTGGATTCAAGCTATGTCTCCATAAAAGTAATGGGGGGGGGGTGTCTAGCCATGCAATCATAAACCAGGTTGTCAAAATGAAGGTTTTTAGCTCACCTGAGCCGAAGGCTGATGGCCTGGCATGTCTTGAAAATCTTCCTCTCAATAACCACTATACCAGGAGTCCAGGACATATAAAACTTACAGGGAATCATCCTCAGGTATTGTAGATTCATATTTATTCAAATCATGACCCCCAGGGGTAGGGCGAGCCACAATGGCTGATAAAAGTTTCATATAGAAACACATACGGAAATTCTTTAAAAAATCTTCCTCTCAAGAACCACTGTGCCAGGAAAGATGAAACTTATAGGGAAGTATCCTCAGGTAGTGTAGATTCAGATTTATTCAGATCATGACCCCTGGGGATAGGGCGAGCCACAATGACCAATCAAAGTTTTACATAGAAATATAAAGAGAACTTTAAAAATCTTCTTCTCAAGAATAGCAAAGGCATGAATGATTATACTTATATGGAACCTTGACCTCAGGTACTGGACATTCAATTTTGTTCAAATCATGACCACTGGGGTAGGGCGGTGTCACAACATGGAATCCCAAGTTTTACATAGAAACGTGTAGAAAAAATCTTTAAAAATCTTCTTTTCAAGAGTAGCAAAGCCATGACTAGTCCTATTCAAATGGAAGCATTCTCAGGTAGTGTAGATTCAATTTTGTTCAAGTCATGACCCCTGGGGGTAGGGCGGGGCCACAGTGTAAGTTCAAATGTAAAGGGCAATAAAGCCACAGGTAGTCAAAGAAATATGCAAGCATCCTTAGCTAGCGTAGATTCAAGTTTGTTCAAATCATACCCTCTTTTCTGATAACATTTTGTCCGGCGTCTATCTGTCTGTCCATCTGTCTGTAAACGTTTCACATTTTCGACTTCTTCTCAAGAACCGCTGGGTCAATTTCAACCAATCTTGCCACAAAGTATCCTTGGGTGAAGGGGATTCAAGTCTGTTCAAATGAAGGGCCACGCCCTCATTTAAGGGTAAATAATTGGGAATTAATGAAAATTTGGTGGCATATTTTAAAAATCTTCTTCTCAAGAACCATTGTGCCAGAAAAGATGAAATTTATGGGGAAATATCCTCAGGTACTGTAGATTCAAGTTTGTTCAAATCATGACCCCCGGGGGAAGGGCGGGGCCAAAATGGCCAACCTAAGTTTTACATAGACACATATAGGAAAATTCTTTTAAAATCTTCTTCTCAAGAACAGCAAAGCCATAATTCATCATTTTTATATGGAAGCATGTTCAGGTAGTGTAGATTCAAGTTTGTTCAAATCATGGCCCCCAGGGGTAGGGTGGGGCCAAAATGACCGACCAAAGTTTTATATAGGAAAATTCTTTAAAAATAATTTTCTAAAAAATAGCAAATCCATGTTTTGTCATGTGACTACTTTTGGATTTAAACTTTACAATAAAAAGCCATTTTCTTTTTTTTTCCTATCCTTAGTGCTCAGATGAGCGATGTGGCCCATGGGCCTCTTGTTTTAGGATTGGTTGGGACCACTATTAGGTTTAAACTTTTCAATAATAAACTGATTTCTGCTTTTTTTCCTAGCCACATTGTTTAGTTTAGCGATGTGGCCCATAGGCCTCTTGTTAATGCATTTATTAGGTCACCTGAGTAAACTCAGGTGACCTATTGCTATCCTTTTTGTCCGTCGTCGTCTATCGTCCGTCGTGCGTTAACATTTGAACATTTTCAGCTTCTACTCTGCTAGTAGTAGTAACTAAGTGCATAGTTATGATGAGCAAGAGTGCCTCTACCAAAATTGTGAATTGTATGGCCCCATGGTCAGGAGTTCTGGTGTTAGGGCGGGGCTCTATTGATTATATAGTGAAAATACTAGAATTATTTGAAAATCTTCTTCTCTGTCTCTGGGTATGAAGCAGATGAACTACCTATTATATTTATGATGAACAACGGCCCTAAACTTGCAGAATTGTGAATTTCAAGGCTTTCAAGATCAGGGGTACCATAGAGGATGAGGGCTGTGCTTACATGTATATACTGAAAATGAATGAATTGTTTGAAATCTACTCCTTGATATTACATGTAATAAAATTTTTTGAAAGGCAAGGATGCCTTTTAAAAAATTTTGCAGTGTGTGGATCTATAGGCCTAAGGGTTAGGGATTCGTGTGTGGTAAGGGCACTAGTACTGACTATTGCTAAATATATTACTGATTAGTTGAAATGCATTTTTTGTTCCCCTACCCTGCCAATGGGTATTAAGTTACCAAGCTAAGCAAGTGTATTGTTGTGATGATCAATGTTGCCTCTTTCAAATATGTGAATGCTATAGCATCTGGCTTAAAACATGAATCAAATTCAATAACTGGAAAGTTGTTGCTAATGCTCACTTGACCTGTAAGGCCCATGGGCCTCTTGTTATGGATTAAAAATCATTCAAATTGATTTTTTAAAAGTTTTTAAAAGTGTTCTGTATTAGAGCACATTCTAAACACATATCATACAAAAGTTCTTTAAAAACTTTCCATTCACAGAAGCTATTTACTGCTTTACATCCAAAGTGACAAAAAATACTATAATGGATACCAAATCTGTAGTTTTATCTCTAATCAACAAGAAAACATTGATGTAACCATCAATTGTCGCCCGGGAAATATATAAAATAAACAATGAAAATGAGTCTTGATCATCAAACCGCTTCGATATGCGTGAAAAGGAATGCGTCTAATTGACGGAGACGATAGTCGCGAATATTTTGAAGATTTTAGTCGGATAAAAATAAAAAACGATACCATTTTAAACTTGATCAATTCCTCAAGTAAATGTTGGCTGCATAAAATATAAATTGAATTTAGACACATGCATCACCTATATTTAAAAATGTATTATTTTTCAATATTAGAATATAAAACACGAACTGTGCTGAGTACGTTTTTATCCGAGAGGTTAAATTCGATGTTCTAAAAAAAGGGACCTGTTGTTTTTTCGATAGTAAATGATAAGCAACTAGTTTATATATTAAATATGAAAAACGTATATATTTTTACAGGCTCACTTTATGAAAGTAAATATATTAAGTATCTCGTAATTTATAAACGCAAAGAACATTCTGATTAACAATCTTTTCAATGTTTAGAAAACCTTAAATTCTAAACTTAAACTTATATGTATAGAGCAGCTTCAATTAGATTTTGTACCAATTTTACTACTGAGAAACCTGTAACTCCAGATCTTTCAAAGATTACCCATAATATAGCATTATATTATTATGATTTTAGCGCACAATTATGTTTTTAAAATATTTTCATGTTTGCTTTGTTTTTATCTTCAGGAAATAAAAAAGTATCTCAGGGAGTTCTGGAATGCTGTACCAGATGAGGATAGAAGTTGGTTAAGTGAGTCTCTGAATGATCGGGAATATGCAGTCGGTTTAAAGAAACTTACTGATAATACCAAGGAATACCTGGAGTCAATGAAAAAGTCCATAGTGGAACTATTTACAGATGAGAACAATACAAAAGTTGAATTGCCTTCTTCGTGGGCTTTAATGGAGCAGTTATTGTATGAAGGAGCCTGGAAGGTTTTGAACCTAAGTGAAATCTGGAAACTCAATGCATCTCTTCCCCATGAATACCAAATCAAAAGTGATAAAGAAATGTCAAAATTTTTAAAATGTTTTCATGACAGTGGCCTTCTTCTGAATTTTGAAGAAGTGGAATTGAGGGAACATGTTATACTAGATATTCAGTGGTTTGCTAATGCTTTCAGTAAGATAATTGCTGATGAAAACCACATCAATAAAGATTGTCAAAAGAAATTAGTCAAAGAGTGGAAATCCTTCAACAAAACAGGGGAACTTATAGAAACAGTAATAGATGCTTTGTGGAAAGATGAACCCTCTTACTTGAAACATAAAAATGAAATTATGCCATACATGGAGAAACTTCAAATGCTGGTAACATTGAATGCACATGAGGCTGTATCAGAAGGTGGCATGTCATGGTATGTCCCGTGTATGAACAAAAAGCAGTTTAAAGCTGACTTCAATGAAGATAAGTGGGAATGCTCCTCCATTTTGTGCTTCAGATTCACTTCCTTTGCCATGTTTGTGTTCTACAGACTGGTAGCATACTGCATAAGTTCTCTAAGATGGAGTGTTGCTAAAGATGAAGACAATGAAGGAAGTCTATGTCTTTATCAAACAGCGGCAGTTTTTGATTACAAAGAACACACGGTTGTTGTTGGCATATGTAATGACGATATTCAGTTGCAAGTGCTGAGAATCAAACCATTGACTGTAGAGAACGATGTATCAAATGGAATTGGAGACTCCATTAATAAAGCAATAGAAAAATTAACAGAAACATTCATTGGCACAAAGATATTCCTCAGAGGATTCAAATGTCAAAATATTATTTGTGATGAGAGGGATCTATCTTTCACCCTTGCAAGTGAGCTGTCCAAAATCAAGACGAAAGAAATTCAGTGCAAGTGTCAACTTCAGGAGAAACATGTGATTAATATACAGATGACTTTGGGATGCTGGGAAAAGGTATCAATTTGAATTTAAACTTACTTTGTGGGTAGAAATTTGTTTATGTTATAATTAATAATAATAAAAAGAACAATTAAACATTATTAGATTTTACGACAAAGTTATAAATTAAATTTCATGCATAGATTTCATATATAATATACGCGTATGTAATAATATTATAAGCTTTTTCATTTAAACTTTGCGAATTTTTGATTGATTAAAGAAGAACTATTTTTACACTCTTAGAAATTCCGTGTAAATTTTCACTGTTACTACGAAAGTTCATTTAAGAATAAATAGATACAATTCATGATTAATGCAAAGGACAGTTTATGTGAACTGAAGATTGATGATATTTAAACTAATGCTATTGTGATAACATTTGTAAATTAAGTCCTATATTTCTGAGCTTACACTCATTTGCTATTATTAATGCTAATAATCTATATTTCAAAATCATTCTCAGGGAGGTACTGTCAAATTACATATTTTCAAAGGATAATTTTTTGGTGGTTTGAGTTAAAGTTTTAAACCCGCCAAATTTTTTAAAATTTTTATAACTTTTAAATGAAATAAGATTACTAATTAATTTTTGTGTCAAATGCTATAACAATATATACTTCGTAATATTAAAGAGAAAAAATTAACTTCAAATCTGTGTCCAAGTACCTTTAAAACTCTTCGTTTGTGGGGGATTTGAATTCGTGGGTGAAGGATTTTGAGTACTTCTGGATATGAATTTGTGATTCTCTGCATACCTTGAAAAAACGAAAATTACCCCCCTCCTTCCCCACGCGAAAATTTGTGATATCACAATAACCTGAAAGAACTTGCTGCACTGTAAATTAATATGAATTCAACTTATTTCATTAAATTTTCAATGTAAATGTGGTTCAAATAACACATGTAAGTTCATTTACTCCCTAGAATGGTCCTGCCCATATACCAATTAACTGACCAATTCCTCATGACTCATTTCGAACATTAATATATTGATTGATTGTTTGTTTGTTGTTGATTAACGTCTTTCTCGAGAATTTGGAGACGCTACCACTCATATGGAGACTCCACCACTTGCCGTTCGAGGGCTACAAATTCTGACCTATACTCGGCTCTTACGGCCAATGAGCTGTGAGGGATCTTTTTGTGCCAGCACTTACTGTGACACGGGTCCTCGGTTTATACGGTCTCATCCGAAGGAGCAGTCTCCACGTCTCACAGTGGGAGTCTACTCATGACATCAGGAATACCACCTTACTTTGCGACTCTAGTGCAGACGCTCTATCCACTGCCCAATGCTTGCAACGAGCTTAATATAATGTAGACACATACTGCTTTCATCTCCTTCAAAAATTCTCTAAGAGTGCAGGCATTAAATTAAATACAGGCTTTGTAAATCTGCAATGTCCTTAAATTTTGACAAAAATGAGTAAAATTTTTAGCATCTTCAAATTATAATATGAACTGGCTCCTTTACATGAGTTTAGATGTGATGATGTGACTTACAATCAGGGGCTTCTAGCTAACATTGATCTATTTTGAATTCACATTGACTAAAATTGTCATTTCCAGGATCTTTTAAAAGAAACAGAAGTACACAGAAGTTTATCACTGACATCTATGGACAGACTTGATGCTAGAGGTAAGGCAACTACAAATAGAGATATGGCGACAGAGTTAAACTCTCCTTAACCTCTTAACATGCATAACAAAAAAGATATGACTGCCGTCACGAGAAAAGGGCCCTTAAGGTCAAATTTTCACAAATTGACTTTTTGGAAAATTTTAATAGCCGGACTCTTTCTGAATGCAAATATACATAAATTTTGAAAATATCTCACTTTTTTCCTATTTTATGAGCATTTTAGTGAGGCGCTCCAAAATAACTTTGACGTTACTCAATGAAAACGTAATGACGTCGCCTGCGTCTAATTCAATTTTCAAAAAATCTTGAAATGTTTTTTAAATAACATCAATCGTTTTGAGAATGAACGGCTTAAGAAAGTGTCTTATTTTTTTCTTCCAAGCGACTAGTATCTAACTATTCCTAAGGGATATCGTATGTTATAACTATTTCCATGCTAAGAAGATGGGCGCATTTGGTGGGTGATCTGCAGGAATTATTTGTACGAAACATTTATGGTTTAAATGTTCAAGATTTGGTTGGCTGAACATACCTGGTCAGATTTTACAAACACGTCCATTGGTTATTTTTTTCATTTAGTTTGAAAGACATTGTGAAATTGTAACATTTATGTCCATTTTTTTTCTAGGGGGTACTATAACATAGTAATGTGTCACAAAAAATTAAACCTAAAATATCTAATGCGTAGATGCATGATACGTGTACATGTACATTATTAAAAAAGAAGATTAGAATTGATTTCGCTTGAGAACCAAACTGAACCAAAATTTATCTAATTCAAAATTTTAATACATCAGTACATAAAACGAAACTGACAAAATAAATAGTTGTTTGCCTAAATAAAAAAAAATTACGCCCCATGCCAGGCTCGAACCAAAAACTTTTCGCTTCGTGTGCACTGAACAAGTAGCCTTCCGAACTGAACTATCACCGCTACACATGAAGAATTGTTTTTTAAAAGGACAAAGACGCACCACATTGGAACATTTGGATTTTGGGGTGAAAAGTTGATTTTTCGTGGTCTCTGGGTCTTCTCTCCATTTTTAAAAAAAGAGTATTCGTTTCTTTGAATGAAAATACACACAAATAACGTTTCAAAATCATGGAGAGAAGACCCAGACATAGAAAATTTTTAGAAAAATGTGTTTAAAAAAGTACCATTTTGTACCAAATGTCTGATATGGCCAATTTTCAAGTTATTTTTTAGCAAATCAAAGCTCAATTTCGGGAAAATATTTTCCGTTCCTGTTGCACAGGAACCCGATAAATTAAAAAAATGTTGAAAATTCATGTGACATGTCAATAAAATTTTCACTTTTCATTTACGCCCAGGTTCCTGCCGAATGCCAATCAAAAGCGCCGTCGTTCTTTTAGAGCAGATCTGTTAAATTCGTTAAAAACGGGGGGTCTAGCCAGAATCTAGGAACGCTTTATAACATAATCAGTAGGAAAATAATATTTGTTTATATCCATACAAATTATTCTTTTTAAATAAAATAATCTAATTCAATTTATAAAATATATAAAGCACCTGTAACACTTAAAGATTCAAAGAAATATATATAGAGAGAGAATCCGATGCAGAAGGACGCCGCGCGCAAAAAGGGGCACCCCTCGCAAAAAGGACATCGATCCCGATATTTAAAAAAAAATCTAATTAGACAGCATTCACTTCCCATCACACATGCCCGTAACTTTATTCCCTATAACTGTTATGATAAAAAAAACACCTTGTATTTTCTGTATCACCGAAGAATTCAGCTGAGAAATTCAAGATATGTAAACTTGTTTTTAAAAACTTTATTCCTTTTATTAACATTCATGAAAAAAATATACGTTCCCTTCTCCCATGCAAGGAAGTAAGGAGTCAATCCTTAAGTCGCGGGTTCGAATGCCACTGTGGGACGTGGAGATCGGTCCTTCGGATGAGACCGTATAAACCGAGTTTCCGTGTCACAGTAGGCGCTGGCACGAAAAAGATCCTTCCCTGCTCAATGGCCCTGAGTGCCGAGTATAGGACAAAATTTGCAGCTCTCCACCGACAAGTGGTGGCGTCTCCATATGAGTGAAAAATTCTCGAGAGGGACGTTAAACAATATACAATCAAAAAAATCTTCCATGCAAGCAAATTAATTTTTTTTTTTTTCATTTTTTTTTTTGGAATAGTTTATTTAAAATGTTTAAAGCTCTAAGTTTCCATTGTTATACAATTCATTTTCAACGCCTGCCTTAGTTATGGAGTAGAAACGTAGTAAGTAGTCTAATAAAGGACAAATAAATCTGAATGGTTTATTTACCGTAACATAAATTGAAACTTTCTATGAATTTTTACCTCAATTTGAAACCGTCTTGTAACTTTTTATTGTTTAAAAAGTAAATCACAATTAATTAATTCGGTTAGAAATATTTCTGCACATTAACCTTTTTTTTTCTTAATTTTATGGCACTTGTACCTGTTTCACTTAAACACAACATTTGTATATTCTTACAAGGACCGCTACTATGATCTCAAAAAAATGATTTATGTATAATATTGTATAATTTAATCAAAGAGATTGGAATTGTGCTGTTCTAAATTTTAACGAAATCTATTTGAAACTGAATGAATACTTAATATATATTTTTACTCAACAACAGCAGGCCCTTAGGAAGCCATTTCATTGGGGGGGGGGGGGGGGTAGCAATATTTTTTTCAGTTTTGGGCACTTTCAACCACCAAATTTTCCTTGACAATCAAAACAATTTTTTAGCGGCCACGGACGGTTATCTATTCATTTTCCTCCATGACAATGGCTAATTAACATGATACCTTATAAGTTTTTTAACATTTCAATGCGATTGTTTTATCCAATAATGAACTAAATTACGTCCAGCATTCGTTAATGATTTTATGTATGAAGCGATGCTGTTAATTAAGTAATAGTATACATGTACTCTCTTTCGCTGAAAATATTTAGGCAAGCAATTTTCCCTAGTTATTACTTCAGAACATATCAAAATAAAAAAAAACAATTTGACTTGTACCTTCGCCTGTTCCCACAAAACTCATTTGAAAAAGAGGAGGGGGGGGGGTCAGTTAAGGAAAACAATAAATCTACCTTAAAAAAAACCTACTCAACCAGAAACAGGATGTGTGTGTGTCGAAACTCGAATCCAGTTTCGACATTGGGGAGGGGGGGGGGGTGTAGGTTCAATCTTCTTTCACTATCAAATTTTCTTAATCAAGCTTAAACAGTGCCTTATTCTTATGCCCTATAGTGCACGAATTTGACTATGATACAACAAAAAGTGTGTATGTTTTGTGTGTGTGTGAAGGCTGGGGGGGGGGGGGGGCTTTCAATGCACACTTGCGTGTGACTGTAATGGCCAATATTTTATTTAAAAGAAGAAAAATTTGTGTTTGTTTATTAATTACTCTTCGTAGAGTCATGTTATAGAATTATGATATAAAGTCTTATCTCGGAACTTTAAGACTGACATTAATGTCGAGATATGCAGGGTATTTTGATACATGTATCAGAAAGGACAAGATAGGGTAAGACCAGTATTTGGCCCCCGATTTTGGGTGTCTTTCAGAATGATCCAACAGTTTATCCATGAAAACCTGTTTTCACCTCTGCCACAAAATGAGTGTTGGTTTTAAGATTAAGAATATACAGAGGTCACAGTGAGGTCAGAAAATAGATCAATTTTCGAAATTTCTCCTTTTTATGCAAATTTTCACTAAATTTACAGCACATTTTCTTTCGGAAAACATAGAGCACACTCTTGTACTCAAAATATGACGAAAATCCACCAGAATTGAGAAAATTCGGGAAAATGTCCTATTTCTGAACCCTCTATTGGCTTCCATGTAGGCTTTGAATCAAAATATGTGCTTGTCTTAAAGTAAGCATCATTTTAACTTTCTAACTACAAACTATCACAATTTTATCAGTGTTCTGATTTTTATATAAAAAATTCGGCTGTTACCCTATCTTGTCCTTTCAACGCAAAATGTGACTTATTTATTTCATATCAGGAATAGTCAGTGATATATATTTCACGCTCATTAAAGTTTTTAAAGAATTTAAAAATTTTCATTAATTTTGGAAATTACACCCTTAACAATTTGTCACAAACTTTTTGCTTTTTCATTGATGTAATTGATGTTATCCAGAAATGCTTACGTCATTTTGCTTAGCAATAGTTTTCCCCCTTTTGGTTTATAAATATACTCATTCATAATATCACTGTCGATGTAATATTCTTAATTTCTTCAACATTGGGCATAATGCTTTTGGGAAAAGTCTATAATAGCTGTATTTAATTTCTTAAAATATTGCAAAATAGGTTCAAGCGGGATTTCATTCATTCATTTCACCGGAACAATTTCAGAAATTTGAAACAAAAGTAAGTTCTACCATACAATTCCATTTAATCATTTTAAATTAGTTTTTGAAATTTATTTATTTTATTAACATTTTCGTGGCATCCCCATCATCCGTATTTTTTCCCTTAGCATATTCTAAAAAATATTTATTGTTTATGTAAAAGGTTTGGATCTCCCATGCTACCAGTATCTTTATTCAATCAAAGAGGGATTATAATTCTTAGCTTTAACTTTGACCGGTCTTTTCATTCGAAGATTTTTTGCTTGTCTTCTCCCCCCCTCCCCTTTTGTCTTTTTACACACATTTAAAAATCAACAGTTCACCGAAAGCTGGTTATCTTGGTATGTCAGTATGATATACTATGGATTAAAATTAAAATGGCTTAAAACGTTTTAAATAATGGTATATATTTTTCAGAAAAAAAGTAGTGCTTATAAGAACGGTAATTACTATATATGCTTAGATCTCTCTCTCTCTCACTGAAATATTTACACGTATATGGAATGTAACGTTTAATATTAAGACTTCTTAACATGAATTCAAACTTCAATTAAGCGTTTGTAAATTGCTCAGAAAACAAATATGCAGCATTTTTAATTTAGTCATGCATAGACATCGTTTTGATCTATATTTCATAGCTAGCAACGTGCATGTCCAATGCCCCGTATATCTACATCAAGTTACTCAAACAAAATTATGAATAAATTTATGTACTGAATTGTAAATATATCACATACCTATAAAGGCTATTAAAAATGTCCGCAACAAGTTTAAATTTTTTGTTACGCTTTGAAATTCAATTTCATTTCTTGTTTACAAAATGCAGTCAACAAAAATTACTTCCGTGTTTACAATACCGTGACTTTGACGTCGTTTTCTGAGCATTGTGACGTCAAAAGATAAGGGCCCTTTTCTCATGACGGCAGTCATATTTTAATGCTCTAAAATTCAATATTTTAGAAAATACGTTTTTTTTTTTGTCCTGTCTGATTTTTTTTTCAGATAGTTAAAATTTTATTTTTTTTCTATAAACTTCTACCTTCATTGTGATGATTGATTGATTGAAAAGAAGATTTTAAAGGCTTTTTATTTGGTAAATGTATACATATACTTATCTGAACTTTAAAACTGTTCAATGATCCTTTTTTTGTTTGTTTGTCAGTTCATCCAATCGTGTCTTGCTCATGGTGTAGTAGTGTAGAAATAATATCATTTCACATTTTTGACTTCTTCTCTACTAATCTCTAGTACCACTGTGCCAATTTCAGCCAATCTTGCCATAAAAATCCTTGAGTAAGGAGATGCAAAATAATTCAAATGAAGAACCTCGCCCTCTTCCAAGGGAAGATAATAACGAAAGAGTGAAATTTTTGGAGAAATCTTTTCAAAATTGTTTTCTCAAGAACCACTTAACTAAAAAATATCAAACTTACAAGATACATTCTTTATTTAGGGGAAAATTCAAATGTGTTCAAATGATGACCATTAGGGGTAATGTCAGGTCACAGTGAGGGATCAGAGTTCTAAATACATGAAGGAATAATTAGGAAAACATATTTAAATCTTTTCAAGAACGTCAAAGCCATGATTAGTCATATTGATATGGAAAAAGTCTAATGCAGTATCAATTTCAGTTTCTTCCAATGATGGCACTTGGACCAAAATGGGAATTAAAGCTTTACACAGGAATACGTGTATATAGGGGAAAATTTAAAAATCTTCGTCTTAAAGTCAGCAAAACTAGGTTAAGTCATATTGATATGGAAGCACCTTCAGGTAGTGCAGATGCAAGTTTGTTCAAATGATGACCTCTGGGGGTAGACATGGGCCACAACGAACTTTTACATAGGAATTGATTGGAAAAACATCTTTAACGAAACATATGGAGATAACAAACAGTATTCAATATCAAGTCTATAAAACAATACAGAATAGGAGCAGAGTATCCCCTGCCGACCAGTCACAGCAGCTGTGTGCTCCTTGTCATGATCAGGAAATAACGGAATGAAAAACATCGGTCAGCATTTGACGACTCAATTAGAAATTGTATTTGCTGACAAGATCATTGTATCTACTTATGAAATAATGACTTTAAACAAGAATGCTGACGTTTTTGTTTCATCAACTTGGTTGGCGATAATGTACCTCGTTTAAGAAATTGTTGATACGTAGAGCAGGTGATGAAGAAAGTATTGGAAGTTGATAAGAGAAAAGTAAAAGTCAACACCTTTATCATAGATCTTAATTGGTTGTTAGATTACCATTAATGTCTTTTTCAGGTAAAATATCCAAATATGAAACAGTTGTGCCAGAATCTGTGGTATCTTTTACCTCAAGCTCACTTGGATAAATTGTATAGACACAAGAACGAAAATAATTGTTAATTGACAATACATTGTCGAAATATCTAAATGTCGAGTTGACGGGTGCAGCAAATATTTAGCTCACCTGAGCTATTCTGATCATAATTTGTCTGTTGTCCCTCTGTCTGTCCATCTGTAATTTTTCACATTTTGATGTCTTCTCCATAACCACTTGGCCAATTTCAATTTCAACCAAACATGCCACAAATCATCCTTGGATGAATGGGATTTAAGTTTGTTAAAATTAAGGGTCTCGTCCTTATTCAAGGAGAGATGATTAGGAAATGGTGAAAATTTGGAAGCATGTTTCAAAAACGTTCTTCTCAAGAACCACTTGGTAGGTTAAAATGAAACTTATGCGGAAGTATCCTGAGGAAGTGTTGACTCAAGTTTGTTCAAATCATGATCCCTGGGGGTAGGATTGGAGCACAATGGCCGACCGACTCTTTAGATATGAATACATCGAAAATTATTATTTTTCAAAATCTTCTTCTCAAGAACAACAAAGCCATGATTGGTCATATTTATAAAGAAGTATACCCAAGTAGTATTGATTCAATTTTGTTCAAATCATAACCCCTGGAGGTGGGGTTAGGCTCCAGTGGATGACCAAGTTTTACATAGAATACACAGGAAAAATCTTTAAAAATCTTCTTCTCAAGAACAAGATGGCCTTGATTGGTCATTTTTATAAGGAAGCGTCCTTATGTAGTCTTGATTCATTTTTTTTTCAAATCATGACCCCCGATGATAGGGTGGTGGCAAAAATAAACGTTCATACTTATGGGGAAAAGCCACAGTAAGTCAAAGAAATAAGTTAGGAAAAATCATCCCCCAGTAATTTTTAGGTGTAGGATGGGACCACATGCTTTGAAGCTTTTCGAAACTGGATTGATTTTTGCTTTATTCCTATCCACAGTGCTGAGGGAGCGATGTGGACCATGGGCCTCTTTCTTCTTTTCACGCATAAAATTTTCCACAAATTCTTCTTTATATGAATACAAAAATAGGTCTGCTTTTAACAGGGTACAATTGTTATCCCTGGAAATTCCAATAGATTGTTGGAAGACCTGGTCTCCAAAAATAACATCGATATTGTCAATCAGAAACTCAAGCATCTTTTTAATGTCGACTTTACTCTAAAATGAAAACAAGTTTAGGTTATTTTGTGACAATCCCTTCCAAACACATGAGATTTTATGATCACATTTTGTCCGTCGGTTGTCCGTCTAGCTGTCTAGCTGCCTGTTAACTCTTAACATTTTCGTCTTCTTCTCAAGAACCACTGGGCCAGTTTTAACCAAACTTGGTACAAAGCATCCTTTGGTGAAGAGAAGTTAAAATTGCTAAAATGAAGTACGATGTCCCTGACAAGGGGAGATAATCAAGAAAAGACAAAAATAGGGCGAGGTCATAAAAAATCTTCTCAAGTACCACTGGGCCAAAAAAGCTGAAACTGAAGTGGATGCATCCTGGGGTAGTGTAAATTCTAAATTATTCAATCATGACCCCGAGTGACTCAGTGTAGGACAGAACCACAATAGGGAATCAAAATTTTGCATAGAAATATATAGGGAAAAATATTAAAAATCTTCTTCTCAAGAACCACGTAGCCAGATGAGCTGAAGCGTATGTGAAAGGATCTTTGGATTGTTTAGATTTTAAATTGGCCCGTGTGGAAGGGCAGTGTCACAACAGGTATTACAAGGGGAGTAATCTTGTTAAGAACAGAATGGTGAGAGCTACTCAGGTGAGGGATGTGTCCCATGGGCCTCTT